GAAAAAACTATTAGAACTAATAAATGAGTTCAGCAAGATTGCAGGATACAAAATCAATATACAAAAATGAATATATTTTTATACACTTGTAATGAACAATCTGGAAGTGAAATTTTAAAAACACTTCCTTAGCCAGGCGTGATGTGTGGACCTGCAGTCCCAGCTACTTGGGAAGCTGAAGTAGGAGGACTGCTGGAGTTCAGGAGTTCAAGACCAACCTGGGCAACATAGCAAGATTCCATCTTTTGAAAAAACCAAACACCTCCACTTACAATAGCCTCAAAAAGAATAAAATACTTGGGAATGAATTTTACAAAAGAACTATAAAACTTGTATTCTGGAAACTTCAAAACATTGTTGAAAGAAATTAAAGAAAACCTAACTAAATGGATAGATGTTTATGTTCATTGATTAGAAGACCTGATATTGTTAAGATAGCAATCTCCCCAGATTAATCTATAGATCATCACAACCCCTAGAACTGCAGCTGATTTCTTTCTAGAAATTGACAAATTGATCCTAAAATTTATAAGGAGACTCAGAGGCCCCAGAATAGCAAAAACAACCTTGAAAAGAACAATTAGATTGGAGGACTCACACTTCCTTATTTCAAAACTTTCTATAAAGCAACAGTAATCAAGACAGTGTGGCATAGACATATGTTTCAACAGAATACAACTGAGAGTCCAGAAACAACCCATTGTGTCTGTAGTCTTCTGATTTTCAACAAGGGTGCCAAGACCATTCAATGGGGTAAAAATAGTCTTTCAACAAATGATGCTGAGACATCTGAATTGCCACACGCAAAATAATGACATTGAATTCTTCACATAACATACAAAACTTTACTCAAAATGGATCAGAGTATTCAATGTAAAACCTGACATTATAAAACTTTTTTTTTTTTTTGAGATGGAGTCTCGCTCTGTCACCCAGGGTGGAGAGCAGTGGGGCAATCTCGGCTCACTGCAACCTCCACCTCCCGAGCTCACGCCATTCTCCTGCCTCAGCCTCCCGAGTAGCTGGGACTACAGGCACCTTCCACCGTGCCTGGCTAATTTTTTGTATTTTTAGTAGAGACGGGGTTTCACCATGTTAGCCAGGATGGTCTCCATGTCCTGACCTCGTGATCTGGCCACCTCGGCCTCCCAAAGTGCTGAGATCACAGGCGTGAGCCACCGTGCCCGGCTGGGTTTTTTTGTTAAGTAAAATATGAGTCATCCTTTTTTTTTTTGAGAAAGAGTCTCGCTCTGTTGCCCAGGCTGGAATGCAATGGCATGGTCTCGGTGCACTGCAACCTCCGCCTCCCGGGTTCAAGTGATTCTCCTGCCTCAGCCCCCCAAGTAACTGGGATTGCAGGCACGCAACACCATGCCTGGCTAATTTTTTGTATTTTTAGTATAGACAGGGTTTCACCATGTTGGCCAGGCTGGTCTCAACTCCTGATTTCAAGTAATCCGCCCATCTTGGCCTCCCAAAGTGCTGAGATTACAGGCGTGAGCCACCGTGCTTAGCCATAATCTTTTTTTTTTTTTTTTTTTCCTGAGATGGAATCTTGCTCTGTCACCCAGGCTGGAGTCCAGTGGTGCAATCTCAGCTCACTGCAACCTCCGCCTCCCAGGTTCAAGCGATTCTCCTGCCTCAGCCTCCTAAGTAGCTAGGACTATAGGCACCTGCCACCACGCTTGGCTTTTTTTTTCTTTCTTTTTTTGTATTTTTAGTAGAGGCAAGGTTTCACCATGTTGGCCAGGCTGGTCTCGAACTCCTGGTCTCAAGTGATCTGCCTCGGCCTCCTAAAAGTGCTGGGATTACAGGCGTGAGCCATTGTGCCTGTCCTGAGCCATCCTTCTCCTGAGGAAAACGTACTCTATCTTGAGAAAAACCAACAGACCTAGGAATAGAGTACCTAGGTTATACAGCAAGTATATGTTTAATTCTATGAGGAACAATCACGCTGTTTATCAAAGTAACTATTCTTCCTACCAGCAATGCGTGAGAGTTCCAGTTGCTCCACATCCTCACTAATACTCATTATTGTCTTTTTAAAAAATGTAAGCCATTCTGATAGATATGTGTTGTTACTGTTATTTCTTTTGCTGTACAGAAGCTTTTTAGTTTGTCTAATTTGTCTACTTTTTTGTTGTATTTGCTTTTGAGTTTTTAGTCATAATATTTTTCTTTTTTGAGACAATCTCGCACTGTCACCCAGGCTGAAGTGCAGTGACACGATCTCGGCTCACTACAACCTGTCTCCTGGGTTCAAGCGATTCTCATGCCTCAGCCTCCTGAGTAGCTGGAATTACAGGTGTGTGCCACCATGACTGGCTAATTTTTTTTTTTTTTTTTTTTTTTTGAGGCGGAGTTTCACTCTCGTTGCCCAGGCTGGAGTGCAGTGGTGCAATCTGGCTCACTGCAACCTCCACCTCCTGGGTTCAAGTGATTCTCCTACCTCAGCCTCCCAAGTATCTGGGATTACAGGCATGTGCCACCACGCCTGGCTAATTTTGTATTTTAGTAGAGAGGGGGTTTTACTAAGTTGGTCAGGCTAGTCTCGAACTTCAACCTCAAGCGATCCACTCACCTTGGCCTTCCAAAGTGCTGGGAATACAAGTGTGAGCCACTGTACCCAGCTGTAGTGATAAATTCTTTGCCTAGGTATTTTTGTATTCTTATACATCATGTCAAACTTTGCTTTGCAAAGTAATTAAGTCACTTGGAAACAGTGTGATCACTTTAGGTCTTGCTTTCATTTTTTGTTAGGTGGATCTGAAGCAGTGCTGCCTTAGTCTCCTTGGACTCTCAGCTCCATTTCCTCAGCTCAAGTAGTCCACTGGGCTCTACCTCAGTTCTGCCTTCTCTTGCTGTGGTCCAGAAATTCTCTCTGGATATCAGAAAACAAAGGACAGTAATCCCTGCCAAGATGGGATACAAACAAGGCGAGACCCACGATTGCCCAAGCGTACTACCTGGAATGTCTTTTTCTGTTTTTTCCTTTTTCTTTTTTTTCTTCAAGATGGGGTCTTCCTGTGTTGCCCAGGCTGGAATGCAGTGGCGTGATCATAGCTAATTGCAGCCTTGAACTCCTGGCCTCAAGTGGTCCTCCCACCTCAGCCTCCCACGTAACTGCGTCTCCAAGCACATGCTACTGTGCCCAGCATGGTATTCAGTGTCTTGAAACCACCATTGCATGTATTTTGACTGGCTCCTTTGGTTGTTTCAGGTAGAAGGGTCAACCTGGTCCCTGTTACTCCATCTTGTCTGTAAGTTGAAGGCCTTGATGTTTTTCTGCTTATCTCTTCATCATCTCCAGTGGTGGTAAAGTCACTCACGACTGCCATTTCCTTCAAGGGAGGAAACGTGCCAAGACTTTGCCCACACAATCCCAATTTGTCATCATAACAATGCAGATTTTTTTTTTTTTTTTGAGACGGAGTCTTGCTCTGTTGCCCAGGCTGGAGTGCAGTGGCGCAATCTTGGCTCACTGCAACCTCTGCCTCCTGGGTTCAAGCAATTCTCCTGCCTCAGCCTCCCGAGTAGCTGGGATTACATGTGTGTGCCATCACGTCTGGCTAATTTTTGTATTTTTAGTAGAGACGGGGGTTTCACCATATTGGCCAGGCTGGCTCGAATTCCTGACCTTGTGAGATTAGAGGTGTGAGCCACCATGCCCAACCCCAGTGCAGATTTTTTTAGTCTCAATCTCTATTTGACAGGTAAAAAACTGAGGCCCAGACAGGCCTGTTGGCATATATTGCTTCCTGGAGCTCCACAAAGCTCTCAGTGTCTTGCTGCATAGTTGCTAGGGGAGCTGCCTGACCTGCACAGCAAATCTCTGGCTCTTCATTCCTTAAGGAAAAGTCCCGCTTGCAGCCTGGCTTTTTATGTGTATACACACACACACACACACTATGCTGGCTTTATTTGGCATGCACACGTGCCTGGGTCTCATCCAGTCACTTGACATCTGAGTGAGACATGGAGTAGAATGGCTGCTAGGCCAGAGATCAGAGGTCAGTGACCCAGACCTCTGATTCCAAGTCCAAGCCTCCTTCCCCAGACTCAGACCCACCCGCTAGGTGGTGGTGACAAAGATCAGGACCCAGGAGTGGGTGGTACTCAGTCCTCACTGTGCTTAAAGATTCTGTGATTCTATCTCTTCTCCTGTAGATCAACGTCTGGATCACTTTCTAATAAAATTCCAACTTTCCTGATAATTCTCCAATATGTCCAAGACTGTAAATACCGATTTTCTTTCATGAAATTGTCCAAACAGCTGCAGCCCTTGGTGCACAGTATGATCTGAACCTGGGACACAGCAAGACCAGAACCATGAACCATGATGCCTCGCTTGGGAGATGACATGTGCAAGGTAACCTGTGGTGCTGCGTGACCACAGAAGTGACCACTCTACACTGTGAAATGAATTTCTGCATGGGGGATATATTAGGGTTCTCTACAGGGACAGAACTAATAGGAAATACATATAATATATATGTAAGTTTATTAAGTATTAACTTACACAATCACAAGGTCCTACAGTAGGCTGTCTGTAAGCTGAGGAGCAAGGAGAGCCAGTTCGAGTCCCAAAATTGAAGAACTTGGGAGTCCGATGTTCGAGGGCAGGAAGCATCCAGCATGGGATAAAGATGTAGGCTGGGAGGCTAAGCCAGTTTCATCTCTTCACGGTTTTCTGCCTGCTTTATATTCGTTGGCAGCTGATTAGATGGTGCCCACTTGATTAAGGGTGGGTCTGCCTTCCCCAGCCCACTGACTCAAATGTTAATCTACTTCGGCAACACCCTCACAGACACATCCAGGATCAATACTGCATCCTTCAATCCAATCAAGTTGACACTTAGTATTAACCATGACGGGGGGAATGAGATGACACAAAGGATCCCTTCTGGCTCTCATGTTCTGTCACCACCTACTTCAGGAGAGAGATGCACAGTGCAGGGAGGATGAAAGTTAGAAGGAAAAGGCAAGAGAAATCAGGAGGGTTTGGTATTCAATGCGTGTTCATTTATTTTACACTTACAAAAGAAATCGCCCACCCCTTTGCCCCATTCCCCCAAAACAGTCTCTTTTTACAAACATTTAAAAATTAAAACCAAATGAAGATAGACAAGTTAATTTCAGTACAATTATTTTTCAGTGTAGCTGTCATAATTAGAGTTTAAATTTCCTACAAGTGACCAATGTCCAAGTGACTTATAGGGAAATCCTGATTATCGGCCAGAGGAAATTCCATATTACAAGTTAGCAAATTCTAGTACAAAAATAGTCCGTGTGTTGGAACAGCTTTCCTTTTACATAGGTCTCAGGTCAGTCTGCTGACTGCATAATACCTAACGCTTCCAGATTCTCTCTCACAAATGGCTCAATCATCACCGCTGAAGCAGCACGGCACCTGCAGCAGCAGGGGCTAGTGTCCACCTTGGGGCCGTGCTGGAGACGGCAGGCCTGGGAGTGCCTTGCTGGCCCCAGGGCACCTGGGCAGAACTCCAGCCCTAGCTCCACACAGAGGGCTAGGAGGGAGGGACGAGCTTCCCCCTCCTGAGGCAATGCCAGGCCCAGGACACAGGGCACATCTGCCCAGGGAGCTGGGCTGGCGCTGGTGCAGGACAGCACATCTCCTGCCAGTGTCTCCTCCCCCTACAGCCTGGTCAGGTGAGAGGTGGCCCTGCGTGTCATCAGCGGCGAGAGTGTGGCCCTGCCCTTGCTGCAGCCAGGGCAGGCCGGGGCAGGCTACTTGTCCCTCAGGATATCGAGCTGTTCCTGACACTCGGTGAAGAGGCGCTGGAATCGGAGGTTCTGCCCGATGACTGGCAGCAGCTCCTTCAGCAGCTCCCTCTTCCGCAGACCCTGTGGACAGAGTGACAGCTGAGTGCAAGTGTCAGTGAGGAGACCTAGATTGTGGGGACTTTCCTGGCCTGGCAGAGAACCTTGTGTCTGCTCACGGGAGAAGGAAAGAACAACTCCTCTGTAGGTGAGAAACTGTGAGAGAGCTGTGGGGCAAATGTGCAGGATGAAGTGGCAGGTGGAGTGGGAGCAACACAGCGTGGGGATAAAGGAGGATGAGACCAGTGCTCCTCCATCTGTGGGCACAGTCACTGCTGACCTTACAGTGACTGAGCAGGGCCCTGACCATCCAGGGCAGGATGAGAGTAGAACATCAAGGCTTAGGGTCAGGTGGCTGGCCATTCAGGAGGGGCTGTTCCCTCATGCTGATGTTTGCCAGGGGTTTGGGGTCAAGCCCCAGGGCAAGGACGTGCCTGGGGGGCAGTGACTGGCTTTAGTTTTCCAGCAAAACAAACGAGGTGCCAGTATCCCCTGATGTGGAGGATGTTTGGATGCTGACGAAACTATGTTTAGTTGCCCAAACATCCTCCACATCAGGGCACATTGGCACACCACAGTCTGAAACAAGCATTGCCAGTTGGGGTCTCTGCTGCACAGACCAAAAGAGCAGACTCCTGAGCAGTACGGCTGCTCCAAAGGGAAAACTACCAGGCAGACAACTTTAACATTGGAAGAGAAGGCCTAAGATCTTGAATTAACAGTGACAGATACACTTGCAACAAGACTAGAAGTGACAGTAAAGAACAAGTGTAAATACGAGGTTTGAGTAACACAGAAGTTTTTAGAGATGGGATAAACAGAGAATGGCTGCTGCTGACGACTAACTTTGATGGAGAAGCAGCCCACGCTCCAACAGGGAGGCTCCGACACCAGAGTGCTGTAGTCAGACCAGAGATTGTATGGATTTGCAAAGCCTGAAATGTTTACTATCTGGTCCTTTACAGAAGAGTTTGCAAACTCCTAAAATAGATCATGTTTTCTGACTAAAATAACTGAGTAAAACTCACGGGTCAAAGGGGAATTCAAATTAAGTGAAATTAAAAATGACTTACAAGAGAATGGTTAAAAAAAAAACAAACACAAAATACTCCAAAAGTGGTGAGACTCAGCAAAAGTGGGCACTTTAGAGGCATTTAGAAACAACAGTTTATACTGTATTAGAGAACATGAAAGAATGACAAACCAAGACTCCAACCTAAAGCCATCAGGGGAAAAGAGAAAAAAAAAAAAAAGACTAAAGAAAAAAACACCACCAAAAAACCCCCCATTTTTTTAAAAAAAGGAAATAATAAAAATTGAAATAAATAAATAGAAAACAAAGATTTAATAGAGAAGATTTATAAAAATAATTTTTTTTTTTTTTTTTGAGACAGGGTCTAGCTCTGTTGCCCAGGCTGGAGAGTAGTGATGCAATTGTAGCTCACTGCAGCCTCAACTTCCCAGGCTCAAGTGATCCTCCTGCCTCAGCTACTCGAGTAGCTGGGACTATAGGTGTGTGCCACCATGTGTGGCTAATTTTTATATTTTTAGTAGAGCGGGGTTTCACCATGTTGGCCAGGCTGGTCTCAAACTCCTGAGCTCAAGTGATCCTCCTGACTTGTTCTCCCAAAATGCTGGGATTAAAGGCATGAGCCACTGTGCCTGGCAAAAGTCATTTCTTGAAAAGACTAACAGAGAAACGTCTGGCAGGATTAATCAAGAAAGAGAGAGAAAGCTTAAAGAAATAATATTAGAAATAAAGAAGAGATATACCTACAGATATAGAAGAAAGAAAAAGTTATGATTACTATCAACTTTATGCTAAGAAATTTGAACATTTAGAGAAAATGGAGAGATTCCTAGAAAAATATAATGTATCAAAACTAGCTCACAAAGAAATAGAAAGGAAGAGTTAATTATTACCACAAAGAAAACATCAGGAATACTATTTTAAAACTGACATCTAAGAAACTTCCAAGGATGAGATTTTCTCTTTGTCTTTCTCACAGTTTGACTATAATGTGTCTCAGTGCAGGTTCCTTTGGGATTTTCCTATTTAGAGTTCACTGAGGCTCTTGTATTAGTAGATCCACATCTTGCCTCAAATTTGGAAAATTTCAGCCAGTATTTCTTCAAATACTCTACTCCTTTCTCTCTCTTACACTTCCAGAACTTCCATTATGGATACATGGGTATACTTGGATGGTGTCTGATAAGTTTCTTAGACTCTGTTTGCTTTTATTCATTCTATTTTCTTTTTGCTCCTCATACTTGACAGTTTCAAATGACCTATTTTTAATTTTGCTGATTCTCCCTTTTGCGTGTTGGAGTCTGCTGTTGAACCCTTGTAGTGAACTTTTCAATTCAGTTATTGTATTTTTAAACTCCAGATTTCTGTTTAGCTTTTTTTTGGAATTTCTATCTCCTTGTTGACACTCTCATTTTCTTTTCTTTTTTTTTCTTGAGATGGAGCCTCGCTCTGTTGCCCAGGCTGGAATGCAGTGGCGTGATCTTGTCTCAATGTAAGCTCCGCCTCCCGGGTTCATACCATTCTCCTGCCTCAGCCTCCCGAGTAGCTGGGACTACAGGCGCCGGCCACAACGCCCAGCAAATTTTTTTGTATTTTTAATAGAGACACGGTTTCACTGTGTTAGCCAGGATGGTCTTGATCTCATGACCTTGTGATCTGCCTGCCTTGGCCTCCCAAAGTGCTGGGATTACAGGCATGAGCCACCCTGCCCGGCCCTCATTTTCTTTATATATAGTTTTCCTGATTTTGTTTAGTTGTCTGTATTCTCCTTGAGCATTTTTTAAGACATTTATTTTAAAGTCTTACGTCTGCCGGGCACGACAGCTCATGCCTGTAATCTCAGCACTTTGGGAGGCCAAGGCAGGCAGATCGCTTGAGGCCAGGAGTTTGAAACCAGCGTAGCCAACACGGTGAAACCCCATCTCTACTAAAAATACAAAAATTAGGCCAGGCACGGTGGCTCATGCCTGTAATCCCAACACTTTGGGAGGCCAAGGCGGATGGATCACTTGAGGTCAGGAGTTCGAGACCAGTCTGGCCAAAATGGCGAAACCTCATCTCTACTAAAAATACAAAAATTAGCCAGGACTGGCCTCAGGTGATCCACCTGCCTTGGCCTCCCAAAGTGCTGGGATTAAGGCATGAACCACCACACTTGGCAGTCCTTTTACTTTTAAGCTATTATATTATTACATGTAAGCTGGGTTTCTTATAAGCAACGTACAGCTGGTTGTTTTTAAATCTGATCTGATAATCTATGCTTTTTAATTTAGACTTATATTTAATGATTATTGATATATTAGGGTTTAAATCTACCATCCTATGGATCTGTTTTTCTGCTTTCTTTTGAATGAATTTATTATTTTTCTATCATTCCATTTTGTCCATTTGTTAGCTTTTTAGCTATGGTTCTTTTTACTGTTTTGGGATTTGTATGTGTATGTGCATGAGTTTTATGTTTTGGTTTTTTTTTGGTGGTTGCTCTAGGGCATATAACATATAGTATATAACATATGGTACATGCCTTTACTTATCGTAGTCTGTCTTCAAGTATTATGATATCACTTTGCATAATGTGTAAAAAATCTTTTAATGGTATACTTTCATATCCCCACTCCTGGCCTCTGTGATACTGCTGTCTGCTGTCATGCCACTTCACTTCTACATATGTTATAATTACAAACTACATTTTCATTATTTGGCTTAAAAAGGCAGAACTTTTTGATTTTTTTTTTTTTGAGACAGTGCTCTGCTGCCCAGGCTGGAGTGCAGTGGCATGATCTTGGCTCACTGCAACCTCTGCCTCTTAGGTTCAAGCAATTCTCGTGTCTTAGCCTCTTAAGTAGCTGGGATTACAGCTATGTGCCACCATGCCCAGCTAATTTTTGTGTTTCCAGTAGAGATGGGGTTTCGCCATATTGGCCAGGCTGGTCTTGAACTCCTGGCCTCAAGTGATCGGTCCACCTCGGCCTCTCAAAGTTCTGGGATTACAGGCGTGAGCCACCGCGCCCAACCAGAACTTTTTTACATTTTGACATTTAGATGAACACTTTTGACATTTAATTCTTAACCCTTTGGAGGTATATTTTTTATGAACTGAAGATCTACTTTTACTCAGTTACATATAAATAACCAGTTTCCCAAACTCCATTTATTATTGAATAGCCCCCCCTAATTTTCCCCACTGTATCTGTTTTGTCTTCTCTCTCATATAGCAAAGTGTCTAAATTATCCCTGCTTCATAATAAACCAAAATATCTGGTAGCATAGTGAATGTCTTAACAATTCTTGGCTTTCTACACCTACATATAAATTGTAGAATTAGCTTGTCAAGTGTCACTGAAACCTCTTGCTGGCATCTGATTAGAGATGCACTGAGTCAGCAGGTCTATTTAGAAATGGTTGGCATCTTTACTGTACTGCACTTTCTCATCATTTGTCCAGGTTTTCTTTAATGACTTTAAGTAAACGTTTATAATTCTTAGCATATAGGCTATGCACATCCTTTGTTAGACTTATTCTTAGATACTTTATTATTCTCAAAAGAGACAATCTTGAAAGTGGCGAGAGAAAAGTGACTCATGAGAGGAATTTGAAGTTTGTGAAGAACTACATGCACAATTGCTGGCTTCAAGATGGAGGAGGCCGGTGGAAAGCTAACAAGCAAATGAATTCTGCTATTCCAATAACGACTGAGCTTGGAAGAGGACTTTGAACCCTAGGTGATCTCATCTGGTCAATAATTTTAGTAGAGAACTCAGGAATCACTGCAAAAGCAAACCAGGAAAACCGAAAGAAATCACAGATCCTTTGAAAGAAGTGGCAGGCAGCTATAAATTCCACAAGACAAGTGAAAAACTCTGGTGCTCTCTCAAAAGTGCCACCTACTGGCTGGAGGTCAACGAACTCAGGACATTACAGCAATTCGTAACAGAACAACCCTACTCCAAGGAAGGACAGAAACAACGGCTAATTCCACTTCCTGCAACATCCT